TGTGATGCCACAAAGGGACAGGGTTTTCATCCCCTTGTGCCACAGTGGGCCTCCACTGCCCTTCTGGGCACAAGCCCAGAGAAGACAGAGCCATTGACTCTTCAGCAGCCACTGTGTCTCCATCATGCAGTCCAAGGCACAGAGACCTCCAACAGCACAGGAGTCCATCACTTTGCTGTACACTGGGATGCATCTTGCCTTGATGATCCCACTAAAGACCGTCTTATGGCAATTTCATGTAAGTTAGCAAGTTAACATGTGCAGCCATTTGAAAGTCTGATTCATTTATCCACAATTCATTCCAGAATGCTCTTCGCTGGAAGGTTATATTTTAGCAGCTCTCTAAAATTAGCCCAACTTGGCCAGCTGCTAACTCACTCTTAATATCAAGCTCCCAGGTTAGAGGAACTAAGAGTACTTTTTCTTTCAGGCAGCTTTGCCCTTCTACACACACAGCAATTGTTCTATTTGAGCCTGTGATCATGCAAGAAAGATTTCTGATTTCCTGTGAATATCATAGTAATAGAGTAAACTGGGGGGAAAACAATCTTCTTGCCATGTCATTGGCTTCAATATTTACACACTACTGTAGCAAGATTCATAAAAGAACAGAGCACAGAGAAGAAAATCCTCACATGATTGCTCTGGCTTATGGCGTTTCCATAGGAGTGCTGCACGAGGTGGTCTGAAAAGCGAGCAGCGAGAGCAGAGCCTGGCTCTCATGTGTTTCTGCATGGAGCACACTGGTCTCCTGTGAACAGCAATCCACTGCCTCTGCTTTGGGTTTTCAGGGGCAAAGCTCCCCAGCCATTCATAATGTCAGGAAGCTGCAATGGAAGTCTAGGACAAAAATGATTGTTGTTACTAATTGACTGATTCCTATGGCACCCAAAGGAAATATAATCATTGTGTGTCCAGCAGCACTCCCAAGCAGGTGTATTTCAGAGGATGAGCCATCACCTGCAGCACATCACAGCATTTGCTTTAATCCTCACTCACCACTGCTATGGCTTAAAAAATGAACCTATTTAAGGAGAATAAAAGGTAGAAATTTCCCTCTGCCTCACTTTGCAGTGTGCTTTTGCCTTCAGAAAAACATTACCTGCTGGACAATTTCTTCCCCTTGTGGTGAGAGAACATGGGTCCTGATGAGGTGTCATGACCTAAGGGTTAGTCTAGAGAGTGTGACCACAGGGTCATAGGATTTCACAGTACTCGAGAACATGGAGGCCTTTTCCTCTTAGTCTTTTTACTTAGCTACAGATTACCACAAATACCACAAAAATCGCCAATATGCCTATGATTAATAATGCAAATGTGAATGAATATATAGATATATATATATAGATATATATATATTTATATATGTCTCAAGCTATTATGTATTACTAGCATCAATCAATTACAGTCTCAATCAATACCATGGTATCAATCAATGATGGCATGAATTAGTAATGTAGTACAATCAATAATAAGAACAACCAAGAAGTTCTGTATTCTTACCTATTACCACAACTTGTCACTAGAAAACAATGAGGGTATATACTGATATATATAACATCAGTAGGAAGCAAATTAATTTCAGAAGGAAAACTCAAAAGGGGAAGGACAGATCAGTCAGTAGGGAGGACTACACCCCCAGCTATCCCCAAAAGAGGGGATAACAGACTGAACTAAAAGCATAACAGAGATACTCACTTCCTGGGGTCAGCCAGGGGTCAGCAAGACATCTGTGGTGACAGCCCAAGATCCTGTAGAAAGTTTGTGTGGGGTTCTACCGGAAAGCTCAGAGTGACACAGGACCTCAGTTTTGGATAAACAAACCACATTTTTTAAATAATATACGGACATAAGAGGGCATAAGGCATCCTACTTCATGCAGTCAATAGGTGCTGTTAATGTCTGGTTTCACCTGTAACAGCCAATACATTATGATGTTCTCTGCTCTTTCAGAGCAATTTTATTTTCCCAGACTGATTTCCGGTCTGTTTTCCCAGACTGTTTTTCTCAGGTGATAAGTCGGTTTTACCCTCATTTTTTCTGCTTATTTACAATATTTCAGGATGTCTTCAGTGCCTATGCACTCTGGCTGCACTTTTCAAAGATGCTTCTTGTTTACAAGCTCCATCCTTAGAGGGGATCCCATTCTTCAGCAGCACCAGGCCGGCTGTCCTTTCTCTGTCAGTACTTTTCAGCAGATGACTTCTTCTCTTCAGGAATTTTCTCCTTCTAACCAGGCCACCTTTATGACTGATCACATTACGGGGGCTGGACTGGGAGAAGACTGAAAGGCTGTGCGGTACCTACCAAGCAAGCTGAATGTGGGATAAGGAATACCCTGAGCCATTTCACACCTGCAGCACTGCTGGTGAAGCCTGGTGGCCAGCATCGCTCTCCCTGATACCCAGCTCCTCTGTAGTGGGTTTCTCATCTCTTCCAAGCCCCTGTGCTTCAAAAAGGTCCTGCCTTCCCTTCAAATCTGGATAAAACTGGCCATGAGTGCTAAAATTACTATGAGAACAGAAATGAGAAACTGACCAATGGGATAGATGTAAGCTTTGTTTCCCTAGGAAAGTGAACCTAGGAACAGAGCAGGAGCTATGACTGACATGCTTAATGGTGGAAAACAGTCTTTAATTTTAAAATTACAATGATGTCAAAAATACAGCACTCTGTAATTGAGGCTTCCCTAAATTTCAACAAGCCACATCAGCATTCTGTTCTGTGCTTTTTTCTCATGACTGTAATTGCTCCTGGTGGAATGTAGTGAGTTCTGTGTGCTGTGGGAAGCCAAAAGATAGATGAACTTGGGGATTTGGGCAAAGAGTTCCATCCTCCATTCCTGGGCCCATTGCAGGCTGTTACTTATCCTCTCTGTGTCCTCTCTGCGCTTCTCTGAGCTCAAAATTGTCACTAGACCTGATGCTCAGTGCAAATAAACCACATTTCTCCATAAGAGATTTGTGTAGGGACCAGGACAGGCTCTATGCACACTGCATGAATGGGGAGCATGGGAGTGTGTTGTTTCCTCAGCTCACCAGCAAATGCAGCCAGGCTTTGTGTGAGAAGATCATAACTGACTTTTGAATACAGATTAGGAGGAAAACAGCTCCTTTAAAAAAAGGGGACATCAGGAATGAAGAGTTGTAGGGGGGATATCCTAGGCAAAATGCACCCAAGTGACCCTTAGGCAATCAAGTTAAACACATCTGTGATCTGAGGAGCTTAAGATTAGCCTGCAGAGATGGTCAACTTATGCTTAGTCAATAAATAAAGGCAACGATAAATAATTTTTTGTTATTAATTCTATTTAAAAAGTCTTCTCTGTCTGCAGACTGGTATGCTGGCACATCTTAAGCAACAGTGGTGTTTACCTCAAGTAGCCAGAGGAAGTGAGCTGGGTTTTCTTGTCCTTGGCTTTACCCCAAACCATTTCACACCTTCTTAAACACGTCTGCTGAGGGTGAGCAAGAGGCCATCACTCACACAGGGCAGACTGCAGGAGCACACACTGGCCCAGGTCTGGGTAAAATCCATGGTGAATGCAAACATCTGAAAATTGCCTGTGGGCTAGGCAGCCCAAATTATGGGGACAAACCCACACTTTGCATGTGAACAGGATGAACTGGACGTGGAAGTCCTTGAGTCTGAACATCCAAAGCACTCAGGCTGTTGTTCTCAAGATCACCCCAGTGCTGCAGCAGCACAGGGGCCTTGAAGTCAGAGTCTGCAGAATGTGCAGCATTTTATTTGAGATTTCTCCCCCTGGCTGGTTCTGTTTAGCAAGCACAGAGGCAAATTTGCCTTGTTCAGGCAAATTTTGGGGATTGTATGTGCTGAGGAACAGCTGGAAAACCAGTGATTTATAGTAACTGGACATGGTAGCTCACAAAGGAAAACATATCCCTCCTCTGAGTATGTGCTATGGATTTCTGTAAATTAAAAAGCAACACCTGTCTTGAAGACCACCCAGTCTCCTACAAGCAGCACTGAAAAAAACTGCATCCAACAGAGCCCATCTCCTCACTGGTACCCATGCTCGTTTTAAGGTACTGTTTTATGTTTTGGACTGTTCAGGCTTGACCTGTCAGATGTGCAGCCCTTATCAAAATTTTGTGGTGCTCTTGGTAGGGCTTTCAAAAGGATGATACACAGAAAACCTTACAAACATTTAGAGAATGACTTGGAGTGATTTTTATGGGGTTTCCAGTTCCTAAAAATGTTTTGTACGGGTTTGATATAAATGACTTGGGGGGATTTACTCTGACAACTTCCAGTGAGATTTATTCTTTTCAAAGGGCAGACCAAAAAATTTCCCGCAAAAGCATTATTTTTGAAGATAAACTGGAACTTTATTTAAATAAAATCTTCAAAAAAATACATATTTTCTTTGAACATTGCTGCTTTCCTTGAAACAGTGATGCTAGAAAGCCCCCAAATTTTTAGCAGTTTTTGGTGAGGAAGAGTCATTACCAACTGCTAAAAAAACAAATAGCTTTTTAACATTTTGAATGGAGTTTTCATCAAAAGGCAATGTTTCCTATAGAAAGTTCTAATTAAAGAGACGTACATTTTTTGTCAGACCCGCCTGCAGAAACTCTCTCTTTCCTGTATGTCGCAATCTCTCTATTCCCCAGCTGGGAGAGCATGTTAGAAAACCCCAGCCAGCACTTTGCAGAGACCCAGCCTTTGCGCAGTATTATTCAAGGTGGAGCCTGGCACAGACCTGAGAGTTTGTGGTTTTTGTGTGAGTTAGCAGCCTCACAAAACGACACCTGCGACTTCAACAATCTACCTCATCCCCTTGAAGGCTTTTCTGCTAAATGGAGCTATTTTCAGGGTTATCCTATCCCTCTGGTCAACTCCAAGCCAAGGACTTCTGCCCTGGTACATTCAATAGTCAGGCATCTCTACTTGTGCCATCTCTGCTTCAATCACTTAATAAAATTAAGAATAATCAATGTGTATAAAACAACCACAGAAATGAGCCTCTGCAAATATACAGAGCATCATGTCCTTTCATTTCTTTATTATAGCTTATTGCAATTTGCATGCATTTTGTCTCCATAAGTTAATTTGATATTACTGTCACATGTTGCTCATCTTTAACAACAATGCATCCATTGCCAGCTAGCTGTGTCCAGCTCAGCAGACTTCCAAATTTCTGCCATAAATTAACCGGATGGTAGAATGTATTTTGCAGCTTACAAGGTGGAGATAATTCCCCAGGCATTTGATGGCATGAGTCATGCTTCTTGTGGAAAAGTGCAGCACATAGGAAATAATGAAGAAATGAGGATTCAATTAATATTGAATTTTTTAAAAATGCCACTGCTAATGTTAATACAAACAGTATCATTAAGGTCTGGTAGGATCAAAAGCAGACCTGGAAACACTCCCAACCCCAGGACTGCTACAGAGTTAATAGCCTGTAATAGAATCTATTCATGCTCTTAGATTAGTCTGTCAAAGACAATTAATCAAAATACAATAAGCTTTTCTTCCCAAAACAGAAATGTATACACAGTTAATGCGACAGTTATATCACTGAATTTTCACAGGAGTTTTCTTCTTGTATTTTGCTGATGTTACAGGTTAAGGCCTGGGACATAAGGCCTGGGACGAGCAAATTTATGAAGTGTGAAAGGCCACTTGAAGGAAAAAGCCCGAAATCCACTTTTATATGAACTTAAAACCATATACAACCATTCAGTAAAAATACTGATACATACAGAGGCTGCATTTATTTATACACTTTTTATCCTTTTGAATGTGTTTGACAAATGCAATAAACATGCAGGGGTGTATTGTACTGCCATCATTCAAACATGTGTCATCTCACTGACTTTATTGGAACTGTATCAGTTTCATTGAGGGCACCATTCAGGAATCTCATTTTGAAGATAATTGGAAGTATCTCTGAATAGAAGGAAAGGGTTTTTTTCACTAGAATCTGTTTTTGATACAGAAGTGCTACTTCATAATCTGTAGCTGGTTTTGCTATTGCTCCCTTTCTTATGCAAAGCAAATTTATAAGCACTTTTTATGAAAAGGAATCACAATGGAGTCAATTTTATAGCAAGAAATAATAGAGATAAATATTTCTTTCAGTGCTGACTCAGAGACAGTATCACCCCATTGGTAGTTAACTTACACAGATTCAATAAAGAGTTTTACCTCACCATCTCTTAAAAGATCAGGTGACTATAAACCACTTTTTTGATCACATTTACTCCAAATGATGCTTGATTTATTTAACTGGAAAAGACCCCAAAGGCAGGGGTCAGGTTGTGGGCAGGTGCAGCATGGCTGTGCCTCCCTCCCTGGCACTGAGTTTGCAGTTCCATCCTCCTCGGGGTCCCTGTGTGGTGGCAGTGCCAGACGTGTGGCTTGCAGCTGGAAGCAAGTGCTGCTTCGTGTCCTACAGCTCCATTTCCCAGTGCTGCCTCCTCCACCTTGTGTTGCTCTCAAACCATGATCTTCTACGGGTGATGCCTTGAAAACCTGAAATTTACTTTTGATTTTGTAGTGAAAATGAATGCTTAAATGTCAGGACCACCTCTGGACTGAAAATCATAGATTCTGGCTCTCTGTGGCACAGAAGTTGACTATGAACACAAATGGGCCATGTGCCAGTTTCTGCACTGACCCACATGCCAATAAATTATATGGCTGGAGCATGCTTTTGCAGATGATTTTACATTTAGTTATAGTCCCAGAAGTTCATGTTCATTGTCTGAGGGCTTTGGGACGTAAAGAGAGAACTATAATAGAGGGCTTGATCCTGCCAAATTTTTGAGTACGCCTTCTCCTTTTCAAAGGTGCTGCCTTTCCACTGGCTTAACATTTCGTTGGTGCTGGTTCTCTGATGACAGGAAGTCTTACTGCCTCTGAATACCTGTCACTGCCATGCAAAGCCATTCGCCATGCAGTTACATCTCCCCTCTGCCTTTTCTCTTACCCCGCAGGGAAGCACAATGGGAGAGACTTGGAGACTGTACAAAATTGTAGTTGAGGCATTTGTTTCTTATTATATTTGCCCTTCCCAGGAACACAAGTGGCAGCTTGCCATGAATTAGGTCTGCTCAATAATTCAGCCCCCAAGTAATCAGAAGACAGCAGTCAGAGCTGTGATGGATAATGGCAGATGTCACACGTCAGTGCTGGGTCTCCCCAGTCTATCACTAGCCACTGTGATCATCAGTCACAATATTCTTCTTACCTGCCTACATCCACTGACAAGCTTGCATTAAACTGATGGTTCATTTCCTGTCAGCAGATCCTCCATCACCTGGGTTCTGCAGAGATGTGCCATTTGGCTCTTCTTAGGCAAGAGCTGACCTAAGGCAAGGTAGGAGTGTTGGGTCAAACTTTCTCAGTTGCAGAAAACTGCAGTGACTTCCTTGTAAGCTGAGAAACTTGGCCAAAACTTAACAGAGCTCTGTTGTTTTGATAATAGATAAAGCTGTGGTATTCTCTGAAAATATCACTGTGTTTGTAAGAGTCAGACTTGGTCTCCAGCGGTCTTCAAAATCCATATCATCCCAGTCACAGCACTTCCTAAGTCAGGATTCCCACTATGGGAAAAGAGATTTGTCAGATCATGAAACTACAAGTAACTGGCTTAAGAATTATACAAGCTTTTGTTATCTTAACCCTCCTGCTTTTGTTGTGCATGCTTTCTCATTGTATTTCTTTAGGAAGAGAGAATATAACCTACAAAGTTAATGAGGGAAGATGCACAGTCAACTGTATCCTCAAACTCTTTTAAAATGAGCATGGTGGTGGTGGGATGACTTTGAGTGCTAAGGGCACCAGGCTTTGGTGCCTGGATGTTCCATATCCAGCTCCCATCAGTGGTGCATTCTTCCTAGGATCAGCAAGATCCCGGTGACTTTGCTTGTTAACAACTTGTGTGCTATAGTGGATACTTTCTGACTCCCAAGCCTGGTATATCTCATACTTTAATGTCCTGAAGAGATTATTTTGGATTGCCTGCCCAAAACCACCACTGGGAAACAGTTTGATGAAGATCAGTTTTAGACATTTCCAAAAACAAAGGATGATGATGTCAAGCTACTCTGAGTCACATAGACCAGTTTCAAGAACCTATATTGACATTGTCTGCGGTAATTTCTTCAGTGCATGCCTTTATTTTAATCTTTCATAAGCTTTATGGAATGGGAGTGGAACAAGAAGACTCACACATTTGGCTGTTAGTTGGACTAGCTGGAAATATGAATTCTATCTTGCAAAATGTTTTGAGATGTTAACAGTTATTTTAGTCACACTGATGATCAAAAGGCTTTTGAAATTTTTCAGAAAAAAATCAGGGAAAAGAGAAAAAGTGTTTATTAAGGCCTTTACTCACCTGGCAAAGGGAATCAAACTCAAGTGATGCTCAGTCTTGTGCAATAAGATTATCAGTCTCATTATCAGTCTCTTTCTCCATCTCACAAGAAATATAACTCTGAACCCCAAGATATTACTAATAAAATTTAGTAAAACTACTGTTATATTTCCTATAATAGTTTTGGTTTTAGTGAAACAGCATGCAGCTTTTAATAAGATTGTCAGGAAAAAAGGAGGTGTCTTGGTGAGGCTGCATGGCGGTTGGCAAAATCCTGGAGAATTGATGGTTGTCCATTGATCCATCACTTTTATAAATGTGCTAAAAAGATGGTAACTTGACTCAAACTCACCAATCCCATTTATGTTTACACCCACTCCCTGGTGCTGGAGTTTTACCTAGCATTTAGCTGAAATCTTTCAGGAATGCAATTATTCAACAGCTTCCTTACTCTAGACTGGCCATCTCCTTATATTCTTGACCTTTTATTTTCCTTCAAAAATATTCTGACTGCAACACCTTTTTCCTAATATTTCATTGAATGAAACAATGTGACTAAGTAGAGTGAGAGGAGAGCCCAAGAATCATACCTTTCTTCTGAACAGCCTTGAGCAGATCCTCCTACTGTAGTTTCCTCTTTGTCTTGGGAAATTCCCCTTTGGGGGGAATGCTGAGTGTAGATATTTTCAGAAAATGCTGTCAGCACAACTCCTGCAGAGCTACAGGAGGAAGGGAGGGGACCGGGGGAGTGTGGTAGGGGCCCAAGCATTTTTGATAAAACAGTCAAAGCATAGAGTTGCAGTATCAGCAGTGAGATGATTGTCAACTAGAGAAAAATGTTTCCATTTCCTACCACAGGTCACAACACTTAATAGCATCATCAATACAAACACCACTAAAGACCAAATCAGCCCAATATGCAACGCTAGTCTGGAGTCAACTACAACAAATCCCACTTGCCTGGAGCAGCAGAAAGGCCCAGAACTCAATGGGCAAGATTCTTGAACAGAGCAGAAGAGGAGAGCTTCCCTATGGAGCAGAAAGGATGCAGGGACAAAAATGCTGAGGTGCAGGCTGAGTGCAATGCTGTGGGGGATGGCTCTTTCAACACACACCAGTATGAGGAGGTGCAGCAAAGCCTTCTTGTGAAGACTGGCTGTGTTAGCTGCCACGCAGCTGCCTTATGTAAGATTCAGCTCAGAGCTGGAGTACCTACGCTGAAGGGTTTGCACAGAGATGTCGACACCTGAGCTCAAAGGGTGATTCAGTTGCCTCCACGGAGACTTCTCATGTTGCTTGAGATGCTACAGGAAATCCGAGACACCTACAAGGAGGTGGCAGATGCAACACAGGACCTCCCAGTACAGCACATCAAGACCTGAAATAACATCCTGAAGCATCCAGTTTGGCATTCAGCAACTGGGCCATGTCCAAGGTTATTTAACTTCCCAGTACAGTCAAGGGATTCTAGGAAATAACTTGGTTTGCCAAGAATTAAACTAATGTCATGGCCAGGCTGACTGTACTGATAAGTTTTCCATTACGGGGACCTAAGTACCCAGCTGACATGAAGATGACTAAATGTAGATATTCTAGTCTTCTAGTCCTCAATCAAGAAAACAAAAAAAAAAAATCTGTGCATGTCAAAACAGACTGCCACCTCAAGCTAAGCTCTTGCTAGTAGCCTGCTCCACAGCAGCAAGGTCAAAATGTCCTGATGTTTACTACAGTTGCTGTTGACTCCATTCTGCCTCAACAGGCAGGTTGCTACCAGGGTATTTAAAAGTCAAATCAAAGGATAATCAAGGGAAATTAACTCTCTGCAAACAATAGACCTGGGCTGGTCTTCTTGAATGGGCTGAACTACTCTTTTTTCAGTATGCTCCGAGCACTACATAAGGAATTGGATAAAAGAGATTAATTTTGAATGGCTGTAGGCCAGGTTCCAGTGAGTCATCTGAGTGTGGCACAAAGGGGCTCAGAACTGCTCCTAATCCACTTCTTGTGCTGGTTGAAGAAAGCACCTGATGGTCTGGGATCCTATCCATGCCTTGTTGGCAGAAGCATGTCTCACACCAGATGTGTTTTGTGCACACCAACACTATCACCAAGGTATTTTCTGAAGGACCCTTCTCTTAGCCTACGGCTTCTGAACATGATGACTTCCTTCCACCTTAGAAACTAGATTCTATCCTACTGATACCCTCATTTTGGCTCAGCTGCTTCTCACCTTTTCTCCTCTACATGCTTGCCCAGGAGCTGCAGTCTGAACCAGCACAGTGGTTTTAAAACAAGTCTCTGTTTTGGAAGAAGAGGAGAGGATGGAGTACAAGCTGTTCCAGGAAGCATAGGCTTGGTCTGAGTCTGCAATGGCAAAAAGCTAGTTCCCTGTGAAGTAATAAAAGGGTATTTCAAAGAAACTCATCTTGGCAGGGCTGTAAGCTGATTTATGAAGGCAGGTGTCAAGTGACTGTGAAACTGCTGGAGCCATGGCAAAGCATATTTTATTGTTGCTTTTGTGTTTTTGTATCTTTTTCTAAAAATCCCCAAACCAGTCTAAGCAGAAGTACTGTGCTAATAGGGTGTTTAAATGGATTTGAGGGAGTTCAGGATTTCTGTGTAATTCCAAGGTGTGACAAGCCAGAAAACTTGCCAGTTTTATATAGTGACTCTGAAAGCCAGTATAAAGTTCAGCAAGCAGTGAATGTGCTCAGCAAAGGAGATGAAAAATCCATTAAGCAGTTGCTGCACCTGCTGCAGTGACATGTTTTCCTTATAATGTTCTTATGTTGGCTGGGCCCATGACTTATGCACATGAAGAGGGGTCATGGTGCCTCTTTCTAAACATTTGCATGGGGTGACGGAGGTTTCTGTGATTCAAGCTTGAAAACTGACTGTGTTACATTTCCAAATGATGTCTGAGCCTCCTTTGCCAAGATGAAAACAATTCCGCAAAGAATAGGGCAACACAGCAACCAGTCTTAATGTCAGCAATGCCACCTTTTTTATTTATCCTAGATGGAGGCTGTTTACAACATTTTATGCTGCTATAACACACATGCTTCCCTATAGGTGCTCTGCATGTGTTGGGCATAAATATGATGCTCTCACCACAGATTCTGCATTCCATGGGCATGTTGTTTACAGCCATACCTGTGCCCTTCTTTGGCCAGGACAGATGTGGGAGCCAGATGCAGACAAGTAAAGCTGCTGTTAGTGCACATTGGGGCTGTTCCCTGTGCCATGTCAAGGAGGGGGATCCAGTCCTGTGCTGGCAGGCAGAGATGCCCTGGCTGGGCTTGTATGTAACCTTGGGTAAAAGGAATCTGATCACATGTGCTATCCTTCCCTTACAGATCCCTCCCATGAGCCAGCATGAGAAAAATCACATCTAAGGTGTATTTTGAGAATGGGGAGCCCTTGGATGGGAGCTGTGTAAGCAGCTGACGGTCACCTGCCTTTGTTCTGCTCACATGGAACACAGAAGAGTCTGCCAGGAAACACTGCCCAGTGCAGGGCAGTTCAGCCTGCCTGCTAGCTGAGGGGGAATGAAGAGAGGGGATGTGGGCTGAGGTGGGCTGGCTTGCTGCAGGAGGACATTTCTGGCCTTGCTGCCATCCTGCTGTGCAGTTACAGGTTCTACCCACCACCACACTGGGAGGTAGAACTGGCAACTTGTGACTTTGCAGGAGTATTTCTTAAAGAGGGCTGCTGTTCCTGCCTTAGCAAAACTCATCCTACCATTCCACTGCTTTTTCCAAAAAAACATCTGTAAGACAAGGCTGTCAGCTATATAAACTCTGCACTACTTGCAAAATAAAAAAGATCTACTTTTTCCTCAGCCAAGCATAAGCTTTTCCTGCAACCTCTCCCTGCCCTACAAACCATCAGACACTCTGCCTTTTTTCATGGGGTCTGCAGCCTGCTTTTTTAGAGCTACAAGATCAGCATCATTGGCATGAATATTCAGAAATAAACTAGGCAGGTGTTTGG